TGTCCATTTCGTTCTGCCTTGTAACAGAGTCAGATATTCTGCTGACCATCGTTTCCAAAATGATTGGTGTAATTGACGAAGTAACTCCCACCTAGTAAGTCCATTTTTTGGAATAGAAAGTATGTTTGGTTCTGGTATGGCAGTTAACGGGGCTCCAATTAGAAAGTCTCCTGGCGTTAATGGACGATAATCGTGTGGATCACTCGAAAAGGGCGTTAATGGGCGAGAGTTAAGGATTGCTTCAATACGGCTCGTTAGTGTTGACATTTCTTCGAACGTTAGGATTTGCTCCCCAACGACACGTTTCAAATGGTATTTTGCCGATTTGACGACTGCTTCCCATAGGCCTCCGAAGTGAGGGGCAGCCGGTGGATTAAAATGCCATTTACAGAGTATAGCTTTACTCAACTGGCCCTTTTGTGTGGATGTATCGAATAATCGGCGTAGTTGCTGGTCTGCACCTTTAAAGTTTGAACCACAGTCGGTATATATATCAGATGGTATCCCTCGCCTAGCGACAAAACGATGAAACATTTATAATTTTTCACATTACTCATTGTAAGTAATTTACATTATTTCGTTATTTAGGTAATTTTTAATACCTTCAATGTCATAGTTTGTTGAATTCATAGGTATTTTTAAAGTCACAAACCTGTCAAAAAGATCGTGTGTGACTAAACACGAAAATTATTTTGGTATTATAGGTACTATTAACGTTTCACTGTTTTTTCAAATTTAATATTCCTTTTTAGTTTTTACACTACTTTGATATATTATTATAATGCAAACCAAGTACCTACCTAGTTAGTGATATAGATATAGGTACCAATAATAATTATTGACATGCACGTACTACACTACGTCATATTTTATATTTGTAATTGCATCGATATTCGATATGCATCGAGTGTGTTGTGCAGGATGACATATATTTTATTGTCAATTATTTAATACCATCTTATTGAAAATCCATAGTTAAGGTTCAAACCCCAGCAGCATGTCCGTCATTTTGCATGACAAATGACAATTTAAAAACCTAGGTAAATGAAGCCGACAAAATATAATTTTTGGTAAATATCAAAATTATAGGTAAATAGGTAATAATATATTATATTATATAATATGGTATGAGAATCTATGATAGCCGGTAGGAATAAATGTACTCTTTACTCTTATATTATGTAAACAATATTAATATATTATTTATTATATTTAATAACTATTATTGATATTACAACAAAAAACTATAATATTTTGTCTCCACACTCTTACTAATCTTTGGTATGAACCGTTCTGTCATAGAGTAAGATTTGAAATTTTGGCTTAAACTAACTTAATCTCAAACTTCAGTCTGTATATTATACAATATATATATTGTTAAGTTATGTATTAACTCAATGTCTGACAATTCGTCTATAGTTATAAAACAAATAAACAAATAATTTCTAATTTTTATACGATGCCAGAAGTGTTGACTTACACTTTATTTACCACACACTAATAGTAAGTACTAAGTAAGTACTGCAGTGTAGATTGGATGCTTAAATTATTATTATAGCTCATACCTACAGATATAATACTAAATTACTATTCAACCAATTTTGTTCGAATAAAATTCATATCTTGGCTGTTCATTCTTCAATTGAATTTATTATTACGGACACTAAACTGTACGACATTTTCATCACCTACAAACAAAAACGTTTAATGCAACCAATGTAACTATCAACGAAATTAATTAAAATAAAAAATTATTCGGGTTTCGGGTTAACTAGAAGATTTTATTCCAGTGTTTGATTGTTTAAGGGTGTTACGGGTTCTAGTTAATTCGGTTGCAAGGCCCTGATTATAAGCTAATATAATAATATGTAGGTATGTGGTTTTAATTTTATAGTATAAATCAAGTGCTTACCCTTGTAAACATTTCAAAATTGATGATAGATTTCGGTGACAATTTCATAACCTTCGTGTGCTCGGAATTCATGCTCATGGCCAAAAATAAAAGTTTTTTAAATTTTAAATTCATCTCAGTCCAGTTACTACTATACAGTCCGAAATTCAACGTACATTTCTAATAATAACAATTAACAAAACATATTATAGGTAGTACCTATTAAAGCATAACGCATTATTAGCTTAAATATTGTTGATACATTTTGTTTTATAATATTCATTTAAGTGAGTAATATTTTCACAATAAGGATTAATTTATATAAAATTAGATGTTTTTAATATAATGTTAAATTGTTATAAGTTCGTTGCCCGTTAAAAATAGCAACTAAATAATTAAAATAATTGGTACCTACCACCGTGGTAATAAATAAGTTATATATTAATTTTGAATAAAATATATTATAATTTTTTACGAGATGTTTCTACCACTATGAACTAAATACGAAGAACTATGAACGCAGGATTTTTAAATATTTTTTCAATTAATTTCACGTGATTACAGTTTATTGTGTTAATCATATTATATAAAAACCGTATGTGTTATACCTTTTACATATTTTATCCAGAAAAAACAACAATGCCATGTAAAATGTAAATATATAATATATTAAGCTAATATTAATATATTCTTATTTCTTACCCCGATTTCAATGCAATTGAAACTGTAACAATAAATATAGAACTGGATAATAGTAAAGATAAGACCAGCCATTAATCTCAAAAATGTTACAGATGTTATTGACTCACCCATAAGGTACATCTAAATTAGAAAATAAATACAATTTCAGCATAAAAACGATCATGGTTTAGCAATTAATATTATATTATTAAGTTTCATAAAAAAAAATACAATTTGTAAATACTCACATGTACAGTGAGAAATGCTAATTCGACAATTATAATCGAACTACTAATTACTTGGGTTAAGACCACAGGCCGAACAATTTCAAAAAACTCATCATATTTCCTATAAACACAAATTATATTAACACGTTTGGCAAAATACGAAGTTAAACAATTATTTATAACTTATAAGTATAATTTCAAGGACTCAAAAACACATAAACTGTACGTATGCAGTACATATTATCATATTGTCTTATTCTGTGATATTATATCATAGCTGATCCCGTTCACTTTTTTGCTCCTTAAAATATGCACCAACTCTATATTATGATTAAAACTTTGTTTAATTCGATTATTTAATATTCGGTTTATGATGTTCAAAACTTAACATTTTCATTGATCATCTTGAATATTTAATTACCCGAGAGACACGATTGTATGTATTATGTTTTGTATGCATGAGACACAAAATATTTTTTAAGGTAGGCAATCTACCGTGGTGGTTTGCAGATCCAGTGGTGGTTTTTATCGGGGGGTTAAGGGGTCGCTCATCCACCCCTCCCCCTTGGATTTTTTGGGTATGTCCTTTTTTTAATTGAAATAACACTAAGTGCTTTAATTGCTTTAATTATGGTGGGAGAGACCCAAAGATTAAAGACAGCCCCTCTCCCCTTGATGTTTTATCAAAACAACCACTGTGCAGACCTCTTGAAGTGCGTACATAATTACGAATGTTTTTATTACGATTTTTATCACGTTGATATTACGATGTGCAAGTGTGGAAAAAATAGTCTTGGGAATACCGCCTCCAAAGAAAATTGATATTTAATTGATATATATTATATGGATAGATAGATTCATATATAGTACCTACATATAGGACGCTGTTCAGCACACGGGATAATGGGGGCGTATAGCGCCGTCTAACTCCAAAAGCGCCGGTTAAGATATAAAACTATAAACTTACTTAAGTTTAATGGTTCAATTCACTTAACTTCACTACACTATTACACTTAATATTTCATTTAATGTACATAGGTATAACCTTAGAGTTAGGTTACAAGTTTACAACTAAATAATACTGATGAATACGTCGTGCCGAACTTCGTCTTTTATAACTTTTATAAATTTTTATCGAGTTCGGTTCAGTAGTTTCGGAGTTCATCCCGAACAAACATTGTGACACCACGGGATTTTTATAAAACTTTGTTCACTACCTAATCAGACGATTTATAAATCAACAATCAACATCAGACAGTCTCTCGGACATAATTTCTATAATGTGCAATGTACAATATAATATAATTTTACTCACTTTATTATATTTTGATTATCTTTTATGTGAACGATCAACTCTTCATAATAGTCAAAAGAATCTATACCACCGTCGTCGCTCTTTCTGTGTATGTCTGCAACATCACGACCAATATTCACAAATGATTACGTATTGAACCTATATACACCGAGGCACCGAGCGCATAAAATTTAGTCTATTTATTTAAAAACGTTTCGAACTTTGACTTAAAACGATGTTCAACCGATTAGCAGTCTCGCTAGTCGTCACAGATGTGCGCCAGACTCCAAGCCGAAAAATTGTTTTTCCATTGGTATTTTCTAAATGATGTATAAGTTTGGAACAGTATGTCTCTAGGAAGTATGTGTAAGCACCACACAATTTTTTTTTTATAATTACTTTATGTTCACATTTGGACGAAATTACATATTAAATAACAAAGAATAACGATTTAAGTTATTTTGTTGTGATTTTATAATATTAATTAAACTTATTACTGGCTACCGTATAAATAATAAGTAATAATAAAACAAATATAATATTATAAATTATCCTCAATGCAGCCAAACCGTCTCCGCTAAGAATCGTTTTTCGTATGATATACAATGATAATATTATATATAATTGAATTCAGATTTAATAACATTCATTATACAATGACCCACTGGTAACCTACCTACTGTACAGCAGAGCAACATCCACTTGCACAAATTTTTTTAAGTCTGAGCGGAGCAATGAATGAATTGTTTTTACAATGCGTGTTTTTGATTTTTTTTTTTTATTCTTAAAATACTTTTTCTAGTTAAAAAGTTCTCTGATGATTAACATCGATGGAGGTTTTTGATAGTAATATAAGTATAATATAGGTGATAAGTACTTTTGTCGGAGTCTACATCTCGCCCCAGCGTCAACTTTTTTGGCCGATCATCGAGTACCCGGCTGCCAACGTGAGGAACTGAGCCCTGAGTACGAAGCACACGGAGAACGGGTAGCAGTTGAACATCGCCAAGATGATCACGTTGACCATCATCGTGAAAAAGTCGGTTGCGTAGATTGCGGCCCAGACAGGTGGCAACTTGTACGTGGTCTCAGACATGTCAGGTATCCACTTTGTGTTATACATGCTCTTCGCGACGTCGTCGGTGAACAGTGGCGAGATGATCCATATGACGAACGTGCCGTACATAATAATGGTCCACGTCCGGAGTACCGTCGACAACAAGGCACTGGACTGCCGCATGATGGTCGATGACCTTGAACAGGGCCAGGTCCACGGCCGTCTCGTCGTCGACGCAATCGTCAGCGTTTACGGGTATGGACCCGTCTAGGTGCAAAGTGGTCATTTCGAAGTCGTTCAGCCGAGCACGTTTTTGAGACCGACTTAAATTTTTGTTTTAGAACTGCAACGCCATTAGTATAAAAATATTTGTAAATGATTAAAGTTATGTTTATCACTTTGAAAAGTTAAGTAATAATAGATATAGAGTAAAATCAATATTGGTTTTTGATTCCGGTTGAGTCATCATATGTATTGTATATGGTTATACACTTATATATACGTATACGTAACAAAATCAAATGTCAAACAATGGCGGAAAAAGGTCACTTTCGAACACCTATATTGAATGTATATAGGAATATATTTACTGACCAAAAAAATATCTTAGTAAAATGAGAGCCAAGGTCAATACTATAATATACGCCTTGGTTGTTGACTTCAACGACAAAAGAAGTGAGATCTAAATGGGTGCCAAGTTATGGTTATATTGTTCTGTGATTATATTGAATCTTAAAGTATGATTTGGCTAGTTTTCATATACGAATTATTATTAAGTACCTACTAAAACAGTACCTAATAGAAGAGTGAAGATGATTTTCCGAAGAATAAAGTAAGAACTCAAAGCTTTAAAACTTGCGAATGCTATAATATACTTCGTAGCCAAGTCAGACCTTGTGCTTCAATATACTGGGTGATTCTTTTATCAAACAACACTCATTATTTCAAAAAGTGTAAATTTTTTTGAAAATATTTTTTTACATAGTTTCAAGTCGCTTATAAAACAACGTTTTTATTAAAAAATTATATTTTTAAATATTTTTTATCCTTATAATTTTTTAAGTTTTTTACTTTTTTGAAAAATAACATAGGATTTTAATTTTATATTCCAAAGCAGAATATTTTTCTTAGTATTTTGATACATGAAAATCGAATTTGGGTTGAGTAGTTTATGAGTTATAAATATTCAAAGTTTGATGAGCGGTGAAGTGGACAAACATTTCGCGGGGTAACCCCGAACCACTCCACTCCGCTCGTCTAAACTTTAAATACTTATAACTCGTAAACTACTCAACCCAAATTCGATTTTCATGTATCAAAATACTAAGAAAAATATTCTGCTTTGGAATATAAAATTAAAACCCTATGTTGTCATTTAAAAAAGTAAAAAACATAAAAAATTATAAGGATAAAAAATATTTAAAAATATAATTTTTTTATAAAAACGATGTTTTATAAGCGACTTGAAACTATGTAAAAAATATTTTCAAAAAAATTTACACTTTTTGAAATAATGAGTGTTGTTTTATAAAAGAATCACCCAGTATTATCCTAACTTGGCAGTTGGCACCCATTTAGATCTCACTTCTTTTGTCGTTGAAGTCAACAACCAAGGTATATATTATAGTATTGAACTAGGCTCTCATTTTACATATATGTTTTTGGTGGGAATGCTGGGATATCATTACTTTTTGTATGTAAATTATTATAACCCAACCTAACCTAGCCATGACGTATTCTATAAATATAGTTTATTACTATATACTATAATTCAGTTACTAACATTAATAATATTCATTATAAAATAATTTCCGTTGTATACAGAGTATAAATTATAAAATTAATATAAAATTATTTTATCTCTTTTTGAGTATATTTTTAATCATCATAATTTTATTTACTTAAATGTCTACTGGTGGGTGAGTAATTCATAATCGTAAGATAAATTATTTAATTATTTTAATTGTAATTTTTTTAAAAATTAATATTAATAACATACATAGAAAAAAAAGTATGTTGCTGTTCGCGGGTCGCCAATACCGACACATATTCGACTAGACGTATTTTTGGAGCGGCGACACGGGAAAGGTTAGTGGAGCTATTTAAGTCAACATTACATTAAATTAGAGGCACTTAATTAATTAATTGAAAAATTAAATATAATAGATGAAAAAATTCAAAAGTTATAATAAGATCAATTGATTGAAAAATTAAAAATTTTGAAGTTTCTGATTTTTTCCTTTGTATTAATCTAACTACCTATCTGTATGGCAAATTTGAACTTTCTAGGTCATCTGGAACTGGGTTAGAATTTTGATCTATAGCCTATAGGTCAATCAATGATAAAAATGACGATTTTGGGACGTGAATATCTAAATAAAGGTTTTCGGTGTGTTTATGAAATTTGGAGCACATATATGTATCTCGTAAGTCTGAATATATGAGCCAAATTTGACATGTTTATGTGGAATATGTTTTGAGTTATGACTATGAGGGGGTTAAAAGTGGCTCCAAATGGTTCGTGCACGGTCTTATATAAGAGTGCTATAGAGTTGCTATAGAGTTATATTATCGTAGGCAGTACTAAACTAAAGTATTAAAGCAGTAGAACTAGAGTTGTAGTTCAGTGGTACGCGCCGACAAATTTGTCATGATATCAGCAGCTATAATTCTTATCTAGACACGCGGTAGCGTGTCAAACGAAGTTCTAACTACCAGAACAGGCGAGCAGCACCGTGTGTAATATTACACGAACCCACGGTCTTATATATAAGACCGTGCTCTATAGTCTATGGTACGAGTTGATTCCCGGGTAGGTACCTGTTTACCAGCACGACACCGTTGAGTTGTTTCCAGGGTCATTAAGAGGTACGTACCATGATATAAACAACACGGTATGATCGCAAAAGTCCGGATTTGGTTAAAGTCCAAAATTTCTCAATATTAGTATGAAACCGATTTTTTGATTTTTGATTTATTTGCTGGTGAAGGCCGCGGGAATTGGGATTTTTTCTAACTTTTGTAGGTTGGCATGAACATTTTTTTTTTGTTCTTATCAAGTTCACTGTTATCAATTGTTATCAAAATCGGGAAATCTGTACCCGTCCCAGTCGGCCAGTCATGACAACTACAATATTATAAATATTATTGTCGTCTTTCTTGTCTTTCGAATTATAAATTAACGAATACCGGAATACGGTCACTTCGGCTAAAACCTACGTTGAAAACCCTATCCTGAACAATATTGTTTATATTATAGTATTATATACCTACAACTTATCTATGATAGCATTCATTGTTTACTATGAGATTTATGCATTCCGCTCCAACAACAACACTAGCCGACGGAAGCGTTTTCGATTTCGATTCCATCCACCGCAATAAAACGCTATGAAACACTTGCGTCCGCCGTGTTGAATACAATTACGGAGTCCGAATAATACGGACATCGAAAAAAAATGGCCACTCCGGAATCAAAAAGAATAAGGTAAAATTTCGGTTCCAAAAACAGTTGCAGAGGTTATAATGTTATAGTCAATAATTTAAAAGTATCTTAGGGCCGTTTAAAATTGACCGGCTAAATTCTGCCGGTAGTAAAATCTGTCATCAGTCGGTTAGCGTTAACCGGCACTTTACCTGACATAGTAAGAACGGCCCTTAATGTATTTTAGTTGTACCCCTTGATTATAGTCATAACTCACAATTTATCAGACACGTTTTAACTTTATGAAGGTTTATAAATCAATTTTAGGTCCCTACATTCGCTTTTATGAATTATTATTATATTTAAAGTGTGTGAACATACGACAAGTTATTACAAGTTCGTATAGCTATTATTTTAGTTCATAAAAAATTAAAACAAATATATGTATATATATATAAATGGCAATTTGTTAAAAGGGACCCATGTACATTTTCAACTACTTTTCAAGAGAAACAAAAAACAGTTTTCCTTTTTTTCTATTCGCGTAATAAGATCAATCATCACAATTTAGATTAAATTGTATTCTATGAAAAATAAGTAGAAAAAAAATTATTTAAAAAAAATTTGTACTTTTATAAATAACTAATTTTTGTAATGTGACATAGGTAGGTACATTTAAACAAATTGTAATAATTATTTTATTAAATTAAGGTATCATAATTTAATATAATAGTCACATTTTAAAATAATATAATACCTTCTTATTTATTGTATCCAATTAAATATTCAACAATGCAACTAAATAACAAACTTTGAATACAAACAAATGAATAACAATCTCAAAAAAAATATATTTATTTTTTTATTAAAATTAAAAAAAAAAAGAAAAACTTATGTACCTAATTTCATTAAATCAGTCTTTGAATTATGTAAACAATGTGTTTACATAAGAGGATGAATAATGTACAACAAAACTATTTTTGTCAAAAATGTAACTTGTTTCCCTTTTAACAAATTCCCCTTCATATATTATTATTTTGTTATGATAGGTATTAAATAATTATATGATTTTTGATGCGAAGAAAATAGATAAATAATAATTGTACCTTACCTTTCTGGCTATCTGTTAATTTCATGTTTACCAAGTTTATTTCATCGAAATTCTTAACACTATAAAAACTTGATTATTTTGATTTTTAACTCCTTGTCATTTTACCACGGTTTTAGACTTTCTTCTCAAGACTTACAAAATACAGCAAATGCCAATGAAGAAGTAGAAACTAATGTATTATTAAAAATACCAAACGGTGTATGTTACAAGAACTTCAATGAAATGAGAAAGTAATTTTTTATACTTAATTATAAAATAATAAATATATTTATATCGGTTGTTTTGATTTTACTAATTAAATTTGTCCACTGTAGAAATGAAAAATTATGTGATATAAAAATCATTGCCAAAAATGGTGAAGAAATATGGGCTCATAAAGATGTTCTGGCAGCCAACAGCGAATATTTTAATATTATGTTTAATAGTCAATTTAAAGAATCCAAAGAATTGGAAATCCAGATTCAAGATTTAGATCCATACGCATTGAGTTTGTTAATAGATTTTATTTATACATCTGAGTTAGCTGTAAATGTACAAAATGTCCAAGTAAATTAATATCTAACTTTTAATTTATGAATATAATCTAATACAATTTTTTTTTTTTTTCAAACGCCTTGTAGGAAATTTTAAATGGGATCTGTTTGTTACAATTGAACGAAATAATTCACAGTGAATGCATTGATTATATTAAATCAAGAATTGATCCCGCCAATTGTTTGGGTATGAAGGAGATGGCTGAATGTCTTGGATTAAAAGATTTTTATACGTTCTGTTTGAGTTATGCCTTAGTTCACTTTAGGTAAGTGTACTAAATATTCAAGTTTTTAAAACAACCCTAAAATCCTTTGTCAGCTCTCAAATTTAGTCTAAATAATTTTAAGTTAACATTGAGCAGAGAAAATGTTAATCGAAGTAACGGTAGAATTTTTGAATTGCAACAAAAATTTAAAATTTGATGAGAATTTGGCAAAAATTTAAACTTTGAATATATTTGTGGAACGTAATTGCTCTCAAATTTTTTTTGATAGTTTTATTAGTAGAACATGAAACATCTCGTGAAACATTGTTCATAATTTTCAAACCTTAGATATCAATATTAATAAGGTGGACCATTGGGTATCACTCCTGTACGTTAGGGTTCGTGTGAGTCACTACGATGGATGTGCTAAAGTCTAATTCAATGTTATTATATCATTGTATAAAAAAAAAAACTATCCTGAGCGAAGACAGCCTACATTACTAAGTGTATTTTATGATATAACTATTAAAGTTATTTATTTTACTATTAAGTATAGTAATACAGTAGGTTAGTAATACAGTAGAGAGTGTTTGGCATGAAGAATGACTTCCTAAGGACTGGGGCACCGCATTCATTTGTCCTATCCATAAAAAAAATTATCCACAAGAATGTAGTAATTATAGGGGTATAGCATTACTAGATACAACGTACAAAGTTCTAGCATATTGTATACTGGATAGAGTAAGACCTATAGCAGAAAATTTACTAGGTGACTATCTGGGAGGATTTAGATCCAATAGATCTACAACGGATCAGATTTTTATTATAAGACAGATCCTCCAAAAAAGCTGGGAATATAATAAGGATGCACACATATTGTTTGTAGACTTTAAAAAAGAATTGATTCTATTCATAGGGAAAGCCTAATTAACATACTCAAAGAATTCAGATTTCCAAGTAAAATTATAAACCTCATTGGAGCTAGCATCAACCAGACAGATATAAAGGTTAAGATAGCAAACACGACATCACAGCCAGTGAGGGTGACAACAGGTCTCCGACAAGGCGATGCACTATCTCCGGTGTTGTTTAACCTGGTACTGGAAAAAATAGTACGAAAAATAAACTTTTCGGAAGGAATTGAGCTAGGTCAGGTAAAAATAGGGCTATTAGCATACGCAGACGATATTGCTCTCTTAGGAGATAATATTGAGATGATAAAAAGTCTGAGAAAGAAACTGATAAAGGCCGCGGAAAAAGTAGGATTAACTGTGAATGATGATAAGACAGAATACTTGGTTGTCAGTCGAAGTAATAGAAATTATGGACTAGAACATCATATTGAAGTGGAAGGACATACATTTAAGAAAGTGTCACAATTCAAATATCTGGGATCGATTATTACTCAAGATAATGAACTTAAAATAGAGGTGTCGTTAAGAATACATCAGCTAACAAGGGATATTATGGATTAGAAAGAATACTAAAATCGAGGAAACTCTCTCAAAACTTCAAAATAAGAATGTATATGACATTATTATGATCTATTGTCCTATATGGTTCTGAGACGTGGGCATTCAGGAAAGCCGAAGAACAGAGACTAGGAGTATTCGAGAGAAAAGTTTTAAGAAAAAAATATGGACCGGTCTTTGACAGTGAAACTAATTAATGGAGAAAATTACATAATTATGAACTCAAAAGACAGTTTCAGAGACCTGACATAGTTAAGGAGATTACAAAAAGAAGACTCATGTGGGGGGGGATGCTTGGCGTAAGCAAGGATCTCTAGTTAGACAGGTAATTGAGGAAGAACCAATAGATAAAAGACCTTTAGGTGGACCTAGACTGAGGTGGGAAGACTACAGAGAAAAATACAGTAGGTTGAAATGTTTGATTAGTTATTGCTAAAAACATTGCATTTGAATATGTCATTGTATGTATAAAATATAATGACATAATGACATACTTTAAAAGTTTCAAGTACCTACCCACAAATTATATTTTTAAATTACTACAAAATAATTAAAATTGTTATTCTAAATATCTAATTTTTTTTTGCTAACGTTTTTGAAAACTACTGAGAATTTTCGATTTTGATCTCTACAATGTACAAACTGTTGCTTGCACCTAACTTACAGAGGGTGGTGACAGGATAGGATGATGGTAGAGCTTTGAAATGATCAACAAATTGTGGTTCGATGTGATATTTATTGTAAATTGTAGAAAAATAAGACAAGTTGAAATTAAAGTGACAAAAGTGGTTTCAGTGCCAAGACCTAAATCTCAGAATCTACTACTCGCCGAGGAGTTCTCATAGCTTTTATTACCAGCTCGGGTTTGTCATCCCTTTGTGTCACATTATTTCCCTATCCATGTGTTACCGTAGTACGGTGGATACTGTGTCTTATAACTATGTGTAGGGGCGGAGTAGGAGGGTCCGTACATATCAAAACTATAGATTCAGTTTTCTACCAAAAAAAATACTTAAGTTAAAAAGCAAAGCAATATTTCAACTGCTTATCGTGTATACCTAAAAAAAATACACACACACACACACATCATTGTAAAGTCAATACTCCGCTCAAAGTCTAAAATTATATTAATTTTTAACTACTAAAAATTAGCAAATTTTTGCTATTTTGAAGAATTTTATCAAATTTCTAACTTCAAACTCTTATACGAAATTACTGTAGATTTACACTCAACCTTTAGTTTATTTTCTTAATAATTTATGAAGAACCATGTATTACATTTTCAAGCTTTTTAACCTAGCATACATTTTTTTATCAATATTTCACACGTTAGGTTAAGACTGCTACAACTCATAACTTGATAGAAAACATTTTTAATTTGAATAATAATAGCTCAAAAAGAGTCAACATATTTTGAATATTCCATATGCAAATTCCAAATGAAAATTTAAATATTTATTGAAGTTTCAAAGTATTTATGGTTATTTGTTTTTGAATTGCAGCAAAATAACAAAACCAATTTTGTTAAAAACTGGTATTAAATAAAAATTCACATTACCCCTTTCATTTATTTTTCTTTAATTATTTAGAAATGTACTCATTTTTTGCTTTAGACTTTTCAATGTCAACCCAATAATGTTCATGTTGATTTGTATTTTATTTAGTTCTAACTTAATTTTTAGTTTTTAATTACTGTTACCTACTTCTTTACAAGTATTTAGAAATATTTTATAAAACTTTTCTTATAAGTGTACAGCTTTATCTTTAAACTTCATTATCTACAATAATTTTACAGTCATGTATACAAAAATGAAGAATTTTTGCTGATTACTTTTGATCAAATATTACAAATGATTAAAAGTAAAGATCTGTGTGCCAATGAGGAAAATGCAAGTACCTTATTCTATTATTGTGTATTTTAACTGACTTTTTTCCTTTTTTTACCTTTTCAAATTGTTTGATTGTAGTAAATAAGATGTATACAATTTTATATTATAGATAACTGTAAATAATGTTCATATTATTAATAGGTGTATAAATCTGTAATTAAATGGATCAAGTATGATTTAGAAAATCGTGACAAACATTTACCAGACTTAATGGAATACGTTCGGTTACCAATTGTTTCCCAGGAATTTTTTGAGTCTACGGTTGATAAAGAACCACTTTTGAAGTTAAATAACAATTGTAACTATATAATATTTTTATGCTTGATTTTTTTATTTCTTAAAATGTATATTGTTGGTAGGTATAAAATATTTAAATGAAGCTTATACTGTCCATACAGTCTTTGGTACTGAGTTAGAAGCACCACATTCTATCCGTACTCAATATCGTCAAAATTATTCAGAAGTAATAATTTTAGTTTGTATAATTATTATTTAAAAAATTATTTATTAATTATTATATTATATAGTATATTGTATATACTATATCATATTATATACTACAGTAGGATGTAATAACATAATTTACAAATAATAGGTACAATAGTACCTAATATTTGATTATTTTAATAGTTTATTATGAATTGTTTATAAATTGAAAAAATATAATATACCATAGTGTTAAGAAATAAACAATAGATTAATTTTACTTGTTACAGCATGTTGTAATTATGGGCAAAAGAGCCCAACATCATCTTCCTCTTTTGTTTAACATAATCACAAATCAGTGCAGAACTATACCAACAGTTATACCACTAAATAGTAAAGGTGAAACTTATTTACTCGATGATGGTCGCTTATTCGATCTTGGTGGTATTGAGGGGAATGAAGATTATTTTCCTTATCGTAATCCAAATAATTATCATTATAATCCACTATGTTTCCTTAAATCCGCTCATATTTTTGACACAAACACAAAAAGTTGGACACCAATTCAACAAATGCATAAAAGTCATTCTAAATCAAATATTGTACAGATTGGTTGTCGTATTTATGTGGTACAGTAAATTACAAATTGATTATTATTACCATATTAAATATTATATCTTATAATTATCTACTAATTTATTTGTTTAATATTATTTGCAGGTAGCTTCTAATGATAGTGAATACTATAATATTAAACATGATAAATGGTTTAAAATGAATTCTTTAAATAATAAATATCGAGTTGATTATGCAGTTATTGCTCTCAATGGGCTTATATATGCCGTAAGTTGTTGATTATAATATATATATTATGTGAGTGTAAGTGTGTCACATTAATTTAAGTTACATGTATATTTTGTGAAACAGAACTTAATATTTTAAACAACCGTGAATAATAATCATTCATGAATAGAAAGGCATATTCTAACATCATTTAAATTATAATGTGTAAACACACTAAATAAAGCAACAATCTATAAAAATTATATAAAAAGTAATTCCACTTGAGACAGTCTGCATTGTTTTGTTTTTTAATTTTTAGAGGTTTTTATTAATTTTGTTCATTTTTAGGTTGGAGGATATTTTGAATATCGCGAAGTTAAGTTCGTAGAACAGTTTGACCCTAAAACTAATATTTGGAAAAATGTAGCACCAATGTTACATGGTAGAGTTGCCCCGGCCCTTTGTGCATTGAATGGTTGTATGTATGCTATAGGAGGAAATCAATATATTGGTAATCATAGTTTGTCTCTGGTGGAAAAATACGATCCATCAACTGACTCTTGGGAAGAAGTGGCCAAGTTAAACCATGCTAGGTCCCATGCAGGTAAGTAGATATATTGTTGAAATAAACTTAAGTATAAAGCTATGTAAATTATGCAATAGGTGCTGTGGCTGTGAATGGAAAAATTTATGTGTTTGGAGGTTTTCACAGCAATTTCACAATCGAAGTGTTTTGTCCTTACAAAAATACATGGTCAGTTTTGCCGTCAACAGTACTGAACTCTCTCAACATGTATGGTGCCTGTAATGCGTTCAATGTCAAACTACACCTTAAAAGTGAAATTTTTAAGTTAATTGATTGATGACATTGTTTAATATTAAACTTTATTTTTATTACTGTTAAATTTAACCATATATTTTATAAATACTGATTAATACATTATAATATAGACTTTGTTTTTTTAAATTCTTTGTTTTTGTAGATTCAAAATTATATTTTATGAGTATGATAAATCGAGATTGGCTGCAGTAGCCCAACTAGGGCTGACATGTTAGGGGGGCTGTAGCCCCCATCTGAAATTACATGCAAAGTAACCCATGGGGGCGTTGCCCCCACCCCCCATATATGTTCACTTAAAAATATACAAAAATCGTACAAACAAAATCAATTATTTATTTACTCAAGTATTTAAGTATACCTTATTTTTTAATAATTATATTATAATTTTCAAACATTAACAATAATATTTGTTTGCTTATAATACCTTTATATATAATATTATTATCACTTATAATAATTAATATTATAATATATCTCTGAAATAAAATATGACGTTTCCTAATAATATTTTAACGATATGTCAGGCCCGGATTCAGGGGGGGGGGGGCTATGGGTGCTCGGGAAGCCCCTGTCGTCTAAGCCACTATTGAAATACATTTGTATTCAAAATTCTAAAATAGAAATTTGTAACCATTTTACATTCTGATGAATGTATTTTTTTTTGTTTCTGTCATCGCCGTATTTGGGGCAGAACAACTGCTTTGATTTTCTTCAAAAGTACCAACTCGATCGATGGGAAAGTGAATATAGTTGGTTCATTCAAAAGGTCAAAATTTAAAATTTCAATAGTTTTAAGAGCGCCTAGAATAACAAAATTAAAATTAAAGAAAAACGGGAGTTTTTAATCAGTTTTCGACAAAATCAATTTTGGTTTTTGGTATACCTAACTAAAAAAAAATAATCATAGATAAATTAAATTTTCACTGAATGTTTATATTAGCATTAATTTCTGTAAACGATAAAATTCACACGATCAAAATATTTTGACTTGTTTTGAGCTGTTTACGGACATAATCAATTTTCAGTTTTAGATTCTGAGTGGAACGATGGATGTATTGATTTTCCAATGTTGTGTGTTTATTTTTATTTATTTTTGTGTCTGTGTACACGATAAGTAGTCGAAATAATGCTTCGATTTTCAACTTCAGTATCTTGTTCGATTGGAAAGTGAATATCGTTGGTGCATTAGGGAGGTCAAAATTTAAAATTCCCAGTAATTTTCAAAAGTGCCAAGAAAAGCTCCGATGGGTGGCGGATCTGGCCGGTAAATTTGTGGGGATGCGCGAAAATGAACGCATTTTGGTCTCCGCCCAGCTCCGCTCTCTCCTGGAACGGAGTATAATAATAATTTTACCAAATACAAAATAATGTAGATCATACCGAGAAAAATTTGTTTCCTGTTTCCATGTTAGTTAAATGTTATTATTTAATTAGAAATTAAATTGCTGTGAATATATAAACTAAAATTAAAGTATAATATAATATGTTAAATAAAACATATTTATCAATTATAAATAGTTCTGACTTATATGGTCCTGTGTTAAGACTAGGTACATTGTAAGAAGTAATAAGTACCTAATAAGTTATAACTAATCGTAAAAAGTAGTTAGTGTAAAATTGTGGAAAAATCTTAATCAATAAATTACAAAAAATAGAAAAATCAATTAATGTATGAAAACGTTTATACTCTTAAGTCTTAACATTTATACTTGAAGTAAAAATACAATTTTTTTAATAATACCTATATAGATAAAAAGGTGGGCAAGTGGGTGTCGCTCTGCTGTACAGTAGGTTACAAGTGGGTCACTGTATAATGGATGGTATTAAATTTGAATTCAATGATATAATATCATTGTATAAGAAAAACGATTCTGAGCGGTGACGGTATGTCAGTCTATGTATCAGACATATTATATACATATTTATGGTATTAAACAATAATTGACCTATAATAAATTCCAAATTAATCATATCACAATATCCATTAGATACTTATAACGCGTTATACATCAACAAAAACCGTGATACTATCATAGATATATAATAGTACACTTTAGAAGTTTCAAGTACCTACGAATAATATTATTCAATCACAACAAAATAACTAAAATAGTTATTCTAGGTTTTTTAATATGTAATTTCGTCCAAATTTGAATTTAAAATGTCTGTAAAAAATAAGTGTGTTCAGATATTTTTTAGATTTTTTGGTTACAGTATGAACTATTTACGAGAACCTTTGTGTTGAATTTGCAATCCTTAGCTATAAAAACTGAACATTTTATAATTTATTAATTACAATGATTGATAATTTTCGAGATTTTGATAAATTTTGTCAAAATTTGATCTTTAAATGCTTATAAAAAAAAACTGTGCCTATGTATTTTTAATATTTTTCAACTGCTATTGTAACAATATATCAGGAGCCTTGTATTAAATTTTTACACTTTTTGGCCCAACAGATAAAACTTTATTGATATTTATAGAAAAAAAAACTAAAAAAAATTGAAAGCTGTAAATGTCCATAAACAGCTCAAAAAGAGTCAAAATATTTTCAAAATTGTATGGTGTATAGAAAATGCTAATTTAAACATTCAGTGAAATTTTCATGTATCTACAGTTGTTCGTTTTTGAATTGCAACAAAATAAGGAAATCGCTACATGAGTAATCGAGTGAAAATCCAATGTTGTAAAAATTTGAATTTCAAACGCTCATAAAAATTTAATTTGACTGTCCAGTAGAGATTTTTTTATTTATAAAGGTAGATAACCTTATAAGGAATCTTGTGTTTCATTTTCAAATCTTAGATTTAAAAAGAAAAATTTTTACGAATTCTTAACTCAAAATAATTTGCTAATTTTCGTGATTTTTCCATATTTTGTCAATTTTTGAACTTTAAATGCTTATAAAAAAAAATTGTGACTAAGGATTTTTAATATTTTTCATCTGCCTTTGAAACAACATATTAGGAGCCTTCTATTAAATTTTCAAGCTTTCGCAACCAACAAATAAAATTTAATTGATATTTTTAGAAAAAAAAATAAAAAAAATGGAAAATGAAAATGTCCCTAAACAGTTCAAAATAAATCAAAATATTTTGAAAATGTTATCGTGTATAGAAAATGCAAATATAAACAACCAGTGAAAATTTCATGTATCTACGGTCATTTGTTTTAAAGTTACACCAAAAACCAAATTCCCGTTTTTCCTTAATTTTTATGTTGTTTTTTCCCGGCGCTTGTGAAAACTACTGGAAAATGTTTACTTTTGACCCCCCAAAGTACCAACTAGATTCACTTTCCTATCAGAAAAGGTACTATTGAAGAAAATCGAAGCACTTTTACTGTCCCAAAACGTGATGACAGACACAAAAAAAATATAAAAATATAAAAACACACATCATTGTAAAACCAATACATTCATCGCTCCGTTCAGAATCTAAAATGCACATTTATTGCCGAGATAAATTTATTTGTTTTTTTTTTCTATATTATTATGTTTAATAGTATAATATTAAAATGTGTAAATGGTAATACAGTTTAAATATAACTATTTAGGTTAAATATATTTTACCTAACTAATAACTATATAATATCAATGGTTATATTTGATAAGAATTAATATGAGAAATAAAGTTGGCATGCAAATGTACATCACTACTCACTAGCCCTGGCTATAATGAAAGGCTATTATATAGTATTATATAGTGCTATAGGTAGGTATAATTGTGAATTGGCTACAAACATAATATTGTAATGATATAAATCGTTTATAAACAATTATTATTTATTCATATTTTATATTATTAATAAAAAAAAACTATGCTGGCCATATGCGATGTGTCTGTTATTAATTTTCTTTTAATCGATACTAGAAACCAACCTATTAAATTTATTTATTTATTTATTATTAATGTTTATATTTCAATTTTGTTTAAAACATATTATACTTCACAATTTTAACTTTCGTGCTAATAATATTAAATTTTTCCGATTGCTGTTTTAATTTGTAATTTGTTTAAGTCTACCAAAATTCTTTTTAACTTTCCTTACTTTCTTTAAGTTCGTGCAAAACTAATTGTTCTTTTTATTATCAATATAAATCATTACACCGTTTTAGATACATAAGGGTGCACACATCAACAATGAATGCAATTTTAAATTAACAAAAGCTTTTATTTATCAGAACACAGATCCGAAATAATATAATACCTCGATGTTACATAGCTATTGGTGGACAATATGGAAAAATTAACGAGTCCTCGTGATAGTAAGAAATTATTTCAGCTCAGCCAAATTAAACTTGGTAGGTACCTATGAACCAATTAGGTAAGTAAAACAATTTTCTGTATTTATGTAAATACATGAATATAATATCATATTTGTTTAGTATTTTTTTGTAGTCGTATATAATAATATATAAGTAGGTATGTGTTATAGATTTACAATTATTAGATAAAGTACCTATCTGACGCTTAGAGCAAGGGTCGGCAACTGGCGAGGGACCACGGAAGGTATATTAATGGACGCCAAAACTATTTTATTTTAATGCTGATTTATTTTTCATTATTTTTCTCTGTAGTTAGACCACTAGACCCGGAATAGCATGATAAACAAAAAGGTTTTCTGGACCTAGAAAGTTTTTTTTTCAAATTCTACGGACCCCCTCAGAAACTGATTTCCGACCCCTGGCTTAGAGGGTGACTGATGAAAATTCAGCGACCAGAGGTTATCGACGATTTAGTTTTATATGAGAATGAAAATTGTCCTCTGTACATCGTCCCCATATAATTCGTAATGAGTAAAATAATTATTGTATTTTTGATTTAATATTGTCGTGCCTAACGTCTTCATCTCCCTGTCAAACACATCACAGACTATCGCCAGCTGGCCTCACACACACACACACACACACACATTATTATCTGACTTTTTACTGCAATTTTTTTTGTATTATTTAAAATATGTTGTTGCGTTTGTAATTTATTTTATAATAATAATATTATGTAGTATACCTACCTAGTG